TCCGAGATTGGTTTCGATTAGTACATAATATTGTTGCGAAATATGGTATACTAGCGGAGGATATATACAATTTCGACGAGACTGGCTTTCAGATGGGAGTAATTGCGACCGCAAAAGTTGTTACAGGGTCAGAATATACAGGACGGGCTATTCATATACAACCAGGGAATCGCGAATGGGTTACAGTTGTCGAATCAATTTGTGCAGATGGATGGGTGTTGCCTCCAATGGTTATATTTGAGGGCAAGGTGCATATATCGACTTGGTATACAGATCAATTACCAGCAGATTGGACAATTGCACTTAGTGATAAAGGGTGGACCAATGATTCCTTAGGTCTTAAGTGGCTTTCAGACGTATTTGAGAAATATACCAAGGACCGTGTAAAAGGAGTATATCGACTTTTAATCCTCGATGGCCATGGTAGTCATTCTACTCCCGAATTCGATCTTTTCTGTTCAGAACATAACATCATAACGCTTTGTATGCCACCGCACTCATCTCATCTTTTACAGCCATTAGATGTTAGTTGCTTTGCAGTTTTAAAGCGACTTTATGGACGAGGAGTCGAGGAGCTAGTACGAGCCGGCACATATCATATCGATAAACCAGACTTCCTTTCAATATATCGTGTAGCCCGTACAAGTACTATGGTCAAAAACACAATCTGTAATGGATTCGCAACTACTGGCCTTGTCCCGTACAACCCAGATCAAGTATTGAGTAAATTACATACTCAATTACATACGCCTACTCCTCCTTTACTTTCTCCAAACCTACTACCTTGGGTCCCTGAGACACCCCATAATACATATGAGGCAGATCAGCAAACCCAGACAATTAAAGCATCTATTAAACGACGTACAAACGTTCTCTCAAGCCCTACTGCTATTGCATTAGATCAATTGGTTAAAGGGTGTAAGATGGCTATGCAATCAGCTACGGTTTTGGCAGAGGAAAATCGACGTTTACGAGCTGAATCTGAACGTCAAAAGAAGAAGAAGACTGTGCGACGTCAATATATTGCTACTGGGGGTGTTCTTACAGGTCAGGAAGGGAGGGAACTTATTCAAAATAGTGATAATATGGTTTTGGATGAAGCTGTGGCCCCGCTAATTGAACCACGAATTCGTGCACCACGAACCTGTAGTATATGTAGATCACTAGCGCATACTGATCCTAGGTGCCCAGATCGAGAATAAGAAAGATAGTATAGTTTATATAAATAAATATTAAGTGGTTAAAGTTCTATGGTTTTTAAAAGTTGGATGGTGGGGTAAAAAATCCGGACTGCTTATAAATCCGGACTCCTTATGAAGTACGTTACGTTACACTAGATTACTATTATTAATATATTAGTAAAGTAGACTAGTTATAACTAAGATTATATAATTAATTAATCTATTAAAGTTAAAATCCGAATATTTAAATAGTATATTATTAAATACTACCTTATTAAATACTAGTTTATTTTATAAAGCTCTAGGATTTATTATTTTAGTAATATTTATTAATCTAGCTTTTAATATATTTACTAATATCTTTAAGTCTCTAAATTATATTACTTAGAAGCTTTTACTTATCCAGATAACCTTAAGTTAGCTTAAGATACTCTAGATTATTCTCTATATTATTATTAAGGTTTCGATTATTAGGTCTAGGTAGTACTTAACTTAAGTTATATTTAGTTAGTAAATAATCTATTTTATTTTAAGAAAAGGGGAGACTATCCGGATTATTAGTAGTAGTATCTACTATCTTTTAGAAAGATAATATAGGTACTTTACTATCTTTAGTATCTATAGTATGTTTTTAGAAAGTAGTTAAAGTAGTATTTTAAAGTAGTAGAAATAGTAGTTAGCTTACTTATAATATATAAATAGCTTTATAAGTAAAGTTTCAAAAGTATTATAAGTCTTTAATCTATACGCGCGTGATTACTAATTAGTATTAGTTTAACTTATTATTAAATATAAGAGGTATAATATAAGAAGAGACTAAACCTTAGTATTAAACTATTTTTATTATTAATATATACCGAGTTAAAGATATAGAAGTTATACTATAATAATATAAGTAGGACTAGTCTAGTTAGGTAGTTCGTATTACCGAGTATATTTACTTAAATATTATAGTAATATACTTATATTACGCTAGGATTATATTCAAAATATATATTAAGTAAGTATTAATAATCTAAGTATATAAGCTATATTTTAGTCTTCTTAGTATACTATTATAATATCTATAGCTAGTAGAGTATAGGCTAGGAGCTAGATAAGTACACCTATAGATTTTAGTAGGGTACTAGGGGTATATTACTTAGAGCTTTACTATATAATCCGCCTTATAAGTATGTTTTTTCCTTAGTATTTAACTTTTAATTAAATAACTTATTATTATTAAAGTATAAAGTCTTAACTAAGATATCTACTTAAGAGCCGGCGAGTGTCACGAATCACGTGCTCACGTGATACTTGTCATAATAAGAGGCGCAACCCTCGACAGGCATACCCAGGTTTCTTATAGCAAATAGGGATCGCTTAGGGTAGCTAAGCGATCCAGGGATTTCCATTGGTTATGGTCACATGATTAAGTTGGATCGCTGGATCGCTCGGCGACCTAGCGAAACGGACCGCCAGCTCGACAGGCGAGTTGGCTACCCAGATCATAGTACTTGAGGATGAAGGTTCTATATAAGACTGGCACGTCTGCCATTAGATAGGAGCTTCGTGCTCAACTTAGTTATCAATCTTATCATATTAGTTTGACATCTTTGNTGAGGATGAAGGTTCTATATAAGACTGGCACGTCTGCCATTAGATAGGAGCTTCGTGCTCAACTTAGTTATCAATCTTATCATATTAGTTTGACATCTTTGATACATGTAACGAGTTCACTTCCAAGTGAACAACCCGATAGTCTTCTTCTTATCATAGCATACCAACCAGCGAACACCCAGCCAAGTTTAGTTAGCCAGTTTGAGTATTCGTTACAGCGAGTTCGTACGAGCTAGCGTATAACTTAGTACTACTACAGAGAAGCGTCTTATAATTAACGTTATAGCTTTATAATAAGTATACGAATAATAAAAGATTTATAATATTATATAAATTAAGAGAGATTTAAATTCTACCAACGTTCTAACGAAATTAAAGCTTTACCAGATACTTATAAAATTAATTAATTTAAATAAAATTAATTAATTTAAATAAAATTAATATTATAATTAAAAAGTAGATTAAACGTAATAATAAAGATAATAAATCTAATAATAATATTAAATAAGCGAGGCATTAAAGATTTTGATTAGTTAAGAAATATAAAATAAAATAGATTTAGTTTAGTTAATTAGTTATTTTAGTACTAAGTATTTACTTTTCTTTTTAAAAGTAAATCTAGTATTATTATACAAATATTAAGTAAATACTCGGTACAATTTATAGTATATATAAGCTAGCCTTAGAATTAGCTAGAGCGTTAGTACCTTAGTACTACTAAAGGTTATAAATAGATACTTATAACCTTTACTCGGTATATATATCTAATAGTTAAATATAATACTATTCTATTTATATTAATACTTAATCTAAACTTTCTATTAGAATTAAACTAATATTAGTATTAATTATAATAGTTACTCTAAGAACTATTTAATACCTTAATTATATATAACTTATATATAGTATTAATTATAAAGAAGTAGTAAAGATATTTAATATCTTTATAAAGTAGTCCTAGGGTAATAAAGATACTTTTAAACTTCTTAGATAATTTATTAATTTATAAGTAAAAAGAATACTTAGGATTTATTTTTTAAAGCTTTTTAATATATACTAGAACAAGTTTAAATACCTTTTCTTTTTTCTTATAACTTATATTCTATTACGCTTTTACTACTTAATATACTTATTACTATAGTATAATATTACCTCGTTTATATAAGATCTTATTATTTACTAAAGATTTAGCTTTAGGTTCTAGGTTTTAATTAATTATATTACTATAGTTATAAAGAATATATTTAATACTATTAAGCTAATAGTAGCTAAGATATATATTTAAAGAATACTTATAAGGAGAATATACTTTAAGTATAATACGTTTATTTTTTATAAAGAGAATTACTTAAATATAGAATTTATAAGTTATTTTATTCTTATACTTAAATATAACTCTTATTAGATTAGATTTAATAGTTCTCTAGAACTCTTTATAATTAAAGAACTAAGTATAAATAATATTCTTTACTCCTATAATAGGACTCTATTCCTGTTTAATTCGTAGAAGCTCTTCTACTATAAACTTAGTATTGGTAACCTCTTTCTTTTATATTAGTTATTAAAAAAGAGTATATTGTAACTATGTTACTTTCTTCTTATAGCGCTCTACCTTTTAAATAAAGTAATATAATAGTATTTATAACTACTATTTATAGTCGAGTTAGTAGTATTATTATTACTAGAGTTATAAGTAAATACCTTAAAGAAATATAATAGCTAATTTAGTGTTAAAATTTTATTTAATTTACTTTAGTTACTTAGAATAACTTATATAAAAGTATCTTAGTTAATTACTATAATAATATTATATAAATCCTTTCTATTAAATTATTACTTATTCGATTAATACGTTCCTCTTAGTACTTTAATTAGGGAACAATAACTATAATAAAAACCTAAAAACTTCTTATACTACTAATATCTAGGATAAAACGTGAGCGCCGGGAAAGGATTTATCCCCACTCTCCACTGTACCACACCTGTCGAAAACTCTTGCCCCGCTACCCCTCCTAGACCGTTATACATAAAACATAATCATCTACCACCGAATCCACAAATAATCCCGTATGGGAAAGAAGCAGGATCCTACTTAACATACCTGATTCCGAAGTCGCAAAGCGTGATAAAATCTTGTCAATATCAGCGCGTGTGTTCGAGAACTTTAATCTCGGGCCTTCCACTTCATCAAAACATACATCCACAGAAACGGCTCCCAAGATGGGTTCAGTACAAGCCTTACCAGACACATCAAAACTCGACGGCTTAGTCTGGTTCTTTGGGTACCCGATCAAACACTCATTCTCTCCTCTTCTTCACCAGACGGTATACGACAATATCAATCTCAAATGGTCACAAATCCCCTTTGAATCCTTGGACACCCCTCAATTCCTCGAGTTACTCAAAGATCCAAAATGCCACGGCTCGACAGTAACCATGCCCCATAAAGTCAGCATAATCCCTCACCTGGACGAACTCACAGATGAATGTCGAGATGTGGGAGCATGCAACACGATATTCTTCAAAGAAAAAGACGGCAAACGATTGTTAGTTGGAACTAACACGGATATCATTGGAGTTCGAGAGGCTTTCTTTCAGAACCTGCCGAAAGGCGCTACTCCTGATATTTATCGAGGGAGACCAGGTCTCGTAATTGGTGGTGGAGGAGCCTGTAGATCTGCTGTTTACGCCCTGCATCGATTCGTCGGATGTAGTCAGATCTACATTGTCAATCGAGATGTTGCGGAAGTTGAGGCTGTGATTTTGAGTTGCAAAAAAACCGGGTTCGGAGAGTCTCTGGTTCATGTGAAGACTGTCGCTGAGGCGGAAGCGCTTGCATCTCCAGGTACCATCGTCTCTTGTATACCAAACTTTCCACCCAGAACGCCCGAAGAAATCGAGGCGCGGGAGGTGATCGTGAAATTCTTGGAGAAGAAGGAGAAGGGGGCCATTCTTGAGATGTGTTATCATCCTACGCCTTATACGGAGATTGGAGATATAAGTGAGAAATTGGGATGGCAGGTAATTTTGGGAACAGAAGCTATGATTTACCAAGGACTGGAACAGGACAGATATTGGACTGGGAGAAAGGTTGAAGACCTTCCTAGTAAGGAGGTTAATGTTGCCATTGCCGAAGCATTAAAGGCACACGGGAGAGAGTGAAGCGGTATTCTTGACTATGTTAAGGCTCATGGATATAATGGTTCACTTCTCCTTCGTCTTCATATGCTCCAAGCAAAACTCAATAGCAGCCTTGTATCCAAAAACACCCAGTCCACAGATAACGGCTTCCGCCTTGTCACTAAAGTAGCTCTTGGACCTCCATTCCTCCCTCCTGTGCACATTGCTCACATGTATTTCCACAAACGGTATATCCACGCCTAGCAAAGCGTCCCTCAACGCCACACTCTGATGCGTAAATGCCGCGGGGTTGATGACAATCGCATCCACGTCCTCTTCTTGAGCTTTGTGTATTCGGTCGATAAGAATCCCTTCGTGGTTGGTTTGGAAGAATGCGAGGGATGCTCCAGACGAGGCGGCTTGAGCGACAGCCGCTTGCTCGACATCGGAAAGCGTTGTTGCGCCATAAATGTGTGGCTCACGCGTGCCGAGGAGATTGAGGTTTGGCCCATTGAGGAAGAGGATCTTTTTGGCTCCCATTTTGATTGATGGCGATTTGTGTATTGGTTATGGCGGCTTTATATTGCAGTGGTGGAAAGCGATGAACTGGTGATTGCTTGGGATGTGGTACACGGCCTGCTAGACTGCCATTACAATTGTACCCATGTTCATCCGTCATCCCTCCGCCACGTCTTACTAGCGGGTCTTCATTTTGCCATTTCATTACAGATGGCTTGCTGTTGGCAATGGTTGGATGGTGTGTCAATTCAAGGCTGTGGCGGGGCGACGTCTGGGGAGCTTGACGGGAAAGTATTTACGCGGGTCTTCAACCACGCACGGTACCAAAACACACGAACGTTGATTGTCGTGGAAACAAGCAATCTCTCAATTCTGTAAGCCAAACCACTACAAATGCCTATGGTTTTGACATTCAAAGTAAGCAGTCGGTGATTTATCCAAAAAGAGTTATAAAGCCATGGGCTGTGAGATTATCCCTTCCAGACTCGAGAGTGCTAGGTGCGGTCGTGCGTACTTATGGATATGATATATAGGTCAAATAGAGACTAAAGACCTTGGAAAGTAGGTTTATATAAATCTAGGAACGTTTAACCTCAACACGTAAAAACACGGTAATCAAGATGTAAAGATATTCTCTAGTCGGTATACTAGCCACCATAATTAATCGTATAGCGACGTGTATAAATATAGAGAGAAATGTCTGGAGATTCCATAGAAATCATCACTTCCATTTTCCTTTACAAAATCGTCCTCAAATTGTAATATATTCACTACCACCGTACCTGTATCTGTGATCAGCATTAGCAGTATGTACACACGAGTAAAGTGCTTCGAAAGTAGATGATTTTACTCCACTAGGAACGCACGGCCGCACCCGGCACTCTCGAGTCTGGAAGGGATATAATTGTGAACTATATATGTGATAATACAAAATATTATTATATGACCTTAGTATGTACTCAAGCGCTACGTGGTTCCGATTTAAATGTAAGTATATTATATCTTGATGTCGATCTAGATCCTCCCAAGGATACTTGGAAACACAATACCTTTGGTGACCATGTTCTTTCGTTTCAAGATACCAATTAATTCGGAATCACCACAATATCACCATACCATAATAGACTCTTGTAGTATAGATTATATATTTTGCGGAATCCAGTGATTATCATGCACCTTCGACTTTTATACCTTTATACATCACTATTATATCCTGTTTCCTCTAACACGTGGTGTCTTTAATGGTGTAAGACATGTTCACGGGTTAATATCTAATAAGAGTTTTATTAACAAAACAAAACAGCTTGTCCTACCGCTACCAATAGTCCTCACGAAGTTTTCAATTATAACTCTACCTTTTAAAGCGAGGAAGTACACTAGTATACCAAAAATAATAGGCCCTTGGACTAATGATCTGCCCATTTCCTCCTGAGTAAGCAATGTCATCTGTTTAACAACAATTAGGTGGGAGAACTTCATCGTTTCGGTTTATCTGGGAGGCAGACTAAACTTCTGCCAATTCCATAATACGGATTGTTAAACGGGCGAATTTCGTCCTCACACTAATATGATGTGGTGTATTGTATATAAATACGATGCTTGCTTCGCATATTAACGTCCTTGGCAGCAACAAGGTTGTACTAGTTGGACCAGGTCTAGAAGAAAAGCAGAGGGCTTGAAATAAAAAAAGGAGAACCGAACAGTGGCCCGTTGAAAGAGTCTCAAGCGATGGACTATCTCCAGAGAAGAGCGAGAGGAAAAGAGGGGATACACTGTTTATCTGCTGAAATAACTCTGATAACTTCACGAGAAGAAGTTATAGAGTTGTTTTACATACAGAACTCGCAATGTTACGAACACTATATATGAATAGCGAGTATGTTAATGTTAATGTTATATAAGAAAATACAACGGTAGCCACCCCTACGACCAGAATTTACGAAGTGTAAAGCAACGGTATGAATATCCTCGATATGACATTTGTTCTGGGGTTGAAGGTAAACGTCTGTCTTAACCTAATAGGACTTGAAAAGGAGTCCTCCTTTGTTCCAAGGTAGGGCACAGTACAGTGAGGCTTTTCAGTGCATGTTTCTTTCAGAACTGGGAAGTGTAGTCTTCATACAAAGACGGAGTCATAGAACCACAGAATCATTGCAGGTATGAATTTCAACCGCTAGCAAGTTGTAGGTCTGAGTGATAAAGAGCACCAATGATATAAAACTGTCTTAAATTACTTCGTATAGACTGGTCAGATTTTGTGTTAAGATGTATTTGATCAACGTATCACTAGAATATTCTCCACTTCTATAATGGAAATCACGTCCACCTCTACAATAAAACTGATTTACAGAGCTATGAGGTCTTCCTCAATCTGGTATCTTGGCGCTTGTTCTTCTAACCTGACTTGGCCACAACTTTTAGGCTTCCATATCGGAAGGTCCGGGATATCATAAAGATCCTTCGATTCGAAGTGTCGAGACTTATTTGTTAAGTTGATCATTGAGCTAGAACTGGAAGCAACATTTGTAGATGAGGCGTCGAAGGAGGAAGCATCCGACGAAACAGATGATGAAGTGATAGATGGTGACGATACCTCAGATCCGATCGTTGCTGCTGAGATTCCAGGTTTTATGATATTCGTGTACTGACACAGGGACCTCGGAAATCTCTTATCTCTTGTCGACTCGTTCTCGATCTGAGCTTGTGCATGTTCCATCTCACGCGCCGTAACAAATTCCTCAAAGTCCTCAACATTGAACCTCATCACCTCTGTTACTTTCTCATGAGACCAACTGATTGCACGACTTGCTTTGACTGCCCTTGGGGTTAGTTGATCTATCTTATTTACCCCAAAACAAAGTTAGTTAACAAGATAGGAACAAAATAAACTCACAGGGACCCTTCGGCCAATTCGGAAATAAATACTCCTTTAACTTTCCACAGCCATTCTTCTTAGCTTCTTTCTCACTTCCTCCTCATCCCTCCACGACTAATTCAATTGGAAACTGCTTAGAGTAACTATCGAAAACTGGAGAATCGCCGATTTGGCGGATGAATTAGACGGAGATGTTGCAGGACCAGGTGCTGGTTTCCGTATGGAGATGGCAGTCGTCTACCACTATTGGATCGACTTTTGGCATCGAACGGTGCTGTGAAGCGAGATTCAGGACACTGATAGGATCGATGTCTGATGGAGGAGAGGGTGGATTGATGAGCGGTGTTGCTAGTTGGATGGGAATTATAGAGAGGATTTCTGGATCAGATTCCATTTTAATATTGGTTATTTGGACGTTCGTTTGAGTGGATATATTGATGAGGTATGTTATAAGTTTGGAGTTCTCTTGATGGTTTTTGAGCAGGTTTATGAGTTCGGGAAGGGGCGACGATTTCTTTTTAATTCCAGATACCAAGGGCTACAAGCGCTCGCTAATTCATTGTGAGAGTATAATTATGTAATTTGTATTCAGAATACCGCTAGATACGTCAAAATGATACCGTAATATCAGCAAGTTATTTCCACGTACTTTCTGCTTAGAAGCCGCCTAGAAAGCAATCGAATCTTCTTCATTCAGCCCCATATCACCAAAGTGAGATTTTGAGATTGTATTCCACATGTTTCCCATGCCGTCATTACCTCGATGCTGTTAGAGCGTCATGCTAAAGTCGGAGGAACGCTAGATTTGTGCTTTCTTCAAGTCGGGATCATGACGTAAAAATACCCGGCATCCTAGCGAGCAAGAAAAATAGCAGAGTTTCCTGAACACTTTATTGGTGCAAATTCATTATTCTAGAATTTTCGAATAATTACTTGAATATCTCTAAACAGATATATTAATAAAGTAATTTAGCAATACCCGCTAAATGATGGAATATTCTGCTACCTGTCTTTTGTCTGCCGGCCGCCGGCCTCGCTTAAAACAGTCCGGCGCATCTCTTATCGCTTAGCGGATTCTACTTGAATATCATGTGTCATCACCAAAATTTCTGAACCTCTATTGTTTAAGCAATAAGTATATTTTACGGTAGAAATAAGAATGGAAGAGTACTTAAACAAGCAAAGTCCCATTCGTTGCATCCAATATTAGAACTTGCAACTCAAATCCTATGAAACCAACACCAATCCATTCTAGCAATATGTCTAAGAAACGGAAGCTTGACGATATATATGACAAAAGGGAAGACAAAATGCGCGAACCAGGAGAAGAAGATGTAGAAGCAAATGAGGAGAATGCTAAAGTATGTCCAGTCCTCTCCCAGTCCGCTGTACCTCATCTTGACTCATTCTACCCCTCCCAGGCAGCTCGTCGCATAAATCTCGCGATTAGAGTGTTCGACAAAAGAGACACTGAAGCGACAGAGAAGATCCAACAGCTCGAGAAGCGCACCATAAAGCTGATAAAAGAAAAAGAGACCCGAAAACCCGCCATGGCGCTCCTCAAAAGGAAGTTGGAAGAAGTGCAACCACCATCACAATCACGTAAACGGCAGAAGCTCGAGGACAGATTTAATCCTGACGACTGGAAGGATCACGTTCGACGTCTAGGTGTCCTGTTTTCCGAGTTCCACCCCGAGGGCGATGCTGCTATCTCGGAAGGGGAACAATTCCAACGACATTTTGAGGCTTTGACCGAGGTGTTTTGCAGCACAAAGAGTCCCGAGTTTGTGTTCCCTAGCTACGAAAGATGGAAAGAGTTGCCCGAGAAGGAAAACAGCAAGCCTATGTGCTTATACTTGCTTGTCTGGGGAAGGACTTGTCCATTTTATAATCCAAGATGGGACCGAAAGCACGGATATTGTCTCGGTGTCCGCCGAATCAATGGCAGAACAATGACACGTATCTCACGTACCAGAGTATCCAAGAGAACAATAGAAGTGCCTGCAGCAGAGGGGTTGGATATGGGTGACAGGTTTGATGCAGACGATGAAAAGGATGAAAAAGATGCAAAGGACGAAGGAGAAGTCAATTCAATTAGAAAAGTAAGAAATTGGTTAAAGAAAGGAAGTGGAGGAAACGCCGCCTGATGGTTGTAAGATTACATTACTAGATGTACATTCATGCTTATAAAATGCCAAAATTGACCTTTGGCATTCCAATTCAGGGTTCTGGTGGGTTGGTACTAGGTATTCTTTAGCGAATGGACATACGTTGATCTTCCTGTGATGTTGTTGGTATTCTGTGCAAACACAGACCGCACTGTAAGTATTTTGAATTCCTTTTCCTTCTACTAGCATAGGTTGGTGTCAATAACTTGAATAACCCCCCAAAAATTGGTCCAATTAATCTAAACAACCCAAATAACTAAATGGTTTGAATTAAGCTACGTTAATAGAAGGATTCTCGGCTACTTTCCTTACTCACCAGAACACGCGAGATGCTTGGTATTATTGTAATGCGTCCATGCATGCCAGGGACTAGGGCAACTGTACCCAGTCTGTAGCTGTGAAGACAGAAGACGCTATTCGCTGTCAGATACCCTACATAGGTACGTACTAGGGCTAGGTATGAATGTATTGTTCAATATTCGTATTGATCAAACCCAGGTAGAGACGTAAATATACAATATGAAGCCACGACTGCCACTGCCGCATGACAGGGAGCACAACGCCCTGTTGTCAATACAACGTCAGTACTGGTACTGTATTCGCACAGACCTGACATGGCATGGCTCAGCATGGCCCTGAAAACTGGAATGCGGGGCAACGCCAACCGGGAACCCCCCATTTTTCTTTGATGGCCCCAGTCTGCATCCCTCACCCCTCCACTGACCAGTACAAGGTGACTCTTCAAAAATCTTGACTCAGCCTATCATCCGATTATTATATTCACTTTCACTCTGGCGCTTGAAAACATAAACCAGCTACAATTGAATTTGATCAGTGGTATTTCGGATTTCTGATATCTGATCTGACATATCTTCTACTATACCTGCCCCTTCTCTTTTACATCGAAGGCAGAGACCAAGACCGCTGAAAATAGAATCCGCCTGACCTAGAAAATTCCCAAGTCAACTGCGACTGCAACCACTCCACTTCAAGATGCCAATGTATGGAATTCCTTTGCGCCGCATTCTCTCTCAATGATATAGCACAATTCTAATCATTTGATTCTCAGGCTCAATGACCCCTCAAAGAAGTACAAGCGCTTCCCTCCCCTCCATCTTCCAGATAGACAATGGCCCGGGAAGACCATTGACAAACCCCCACGATGGCTCTCGACCGATTTGCGCGATGGGAACCAAAGCTTGGTCGACCCTATGGTATGCCATCTGCGACTGACGATTGATTGAGAGGAACCACCGAGGCTAATATACTGAGTGTAGGACGGGGAGCAGAAATGGAAGTATTTTCAGATGTTGGTGGAACTTGGGTACAAGGAGATCGAGGTTTCCTTCCCCTCGGCCTCGCAGACAGATTTTGATTTCACAAGACGTCTCGTTGAAACCCCAGGCGCGACACCCGACGATGTCTGGCTCCAGGTCCTTTCACCGTGTCGAGAGGAACTCATCAAGCGGACCGTCGACTCCCTCAAAGGTGCCAAAAAGGCTCTCCTACACATTTACGTCGCAACCAGCGAATGCTTCCAGCGGATAGTGTTTGGCATGACCGAGGACCAGAATGTGGAATTGGCAGTCAGATGTACAGAATATGCACGATCGATTACGAAAGACGATCCTTCCCAGGCCGGTACGGAATGGGCATTTGAATTCAGTCCAGAGACTTTCTCCGATTCCAGACCCGAATTTGTGATTAGAATATGTGAAGCCGTAAAGGAAGCCTGGGGGCCTTCAGTCGAGAACCCAATCATCTTCAATCTTCCTGCGACGGTCGAAATGTCTACTCCAAACGTCTACGCTGACCAAATCGAATACTTTTGCAAAAACATGACAGAAAGAGAGAAGATCTGCGTGTCCCTCCACCCACATAACGATCGGGGTTGCGCGGTGGCCGCAGCGGAATTAGCACAGATGGCTGGCGCAGATAGAGTGGAGGGGTGTCTCTTTGGAAACGGCGAGAGAACTGGAAATGTTGATCTTGTCACTCTCGGTCTTAATCTTTACACACAAGGAATCCACCCAGGTATCGATTTCTCTGACCTGAACCGAGTTATTGATGTGGTGGAAGTTAGCAACAAGATTCCAGTTCACCCTCGAGCACCATATGGAGGTTCTCTCGTTGTGTGCGCGTTTAGTGGTTCTCACCAGGATGCTATTAAGAAGGGATTTCAGGCACGCAAGCAGGCCGGAGCTACAGACGAGGACAAATGGCAACTCCCATACCTCCCTCTGGATCCTCAAGATATTGGAAGAACATACGAGGCCATCATCCGAGTCAACTCTCAAAGTGGAAAGGGCGGAGCTGCCTGGATCATTCTTCGAAATCTCGAACTCGACTTACCTAGGGGCTTACAAGTTGCCTTTAGCAAAATCGTGCAGAAACAGGCAGATGCGGTCGGTCGTGAACTCCTCTCAGCCGAAATCCAAGCTTTATTTGAAAAGACATATTTTCTTAAAGAAAACCCAAGATTCATGTTGGTCGACTACACCATTACTTTTGATCGATCCGTGTCACCAGCACCTCCCGCACCCGGTAAGACACAAGACACGAAGAATCTCAAGAGGATCTTCGAGGGGGTCATCTCCATCGATGGACAAGAACACAAGCTTAGAGGAAATGGCAACGGTCCTATTTCCAGTTTAGCCAACGCCTTGTCATCGGTAGGCATCGAATTAGATGTAGCGAATTACGTAGAGCATTCCATTGGAGCCGGACGAGATTCCAAAGCTGCATCATATGTCGAGTGTACGGCAACAGGATCCAATCAAAAGGTTTGGGGTGTGGGGGTGCACGAAGATGTGGTGCAGAGTTCTTTGATTGCTTTGCTGAGCGCAGCAAGCAATGTGAGTACAGCAAGTTTCAAATGTTGGTCTTTTCTTGCTGACTTGTTCATAGTTCATTGCTACTCGACCAAATACGCCACTACTACTCCGAGGCAAACACGGACCGACGTTGAGCCAAGAGTTCAATGTCAATGGTGGAAGCCCGTTAAGAAATGGAGGTATATCCGTGCCAAAGCCAAATGGGGCGCCGGTGAGTGGGCCGGATGCTCCAAGTGTTGTGAGTGTTCTCGAGGCAAAAGCGAATGGGATGTAAGGGGAGGGAGAGGGAGGGAAGGGGGGATGGATCTTTACAAAGCAATGACTTTCCAAGGCAAGTACAGTTTTTTCCCCCTCCATGCTCTACTTGCAGGCTATTGCGGGGTGGGTGCGGTGCGTTGCGGGACGAGCCATGGGGGGATGATGGAGGGGTAATTTAGTTTCAGCCTTCCTCTCTTAGGTCGATGATCAAGGTTGGGACTGCAAAGGGGAAAAAAGTAAATACAGATTGCTTATCCTCGGTCATGAATGGAAGACATATATTCATGACATGAAGCGGCCAGTTAGTAATTAGCATAGGTAAGCAGTGCAGGCAGAAAAACCCCTGAATCGTGGCTCAGGGGAAATTGAAAATTTGAATTTCCCTTCAAGTGCAGGTGCGGGCGCCCGTTGCCTGGCCCAGAACACGTGATTGAACCGGTGGGGACCTGAGGCTTGCAGGTGAAGGTGGGTGAAGGTGAGATAAAGCGGCGGGGAGTGCGGAGCAGTTCCAATTACGGTGGAAGGTGGAAGATGAAGGATGGAAGCCTGGTAATTATTGTGCACCACAGAGCATGTCTCGGCTGTGATAGCCTCGCTAGCGTGCTAGCCCAGGTGCCCAGCGAGCCCAGGCAGACAGCCCTACGTAATGCCGCTTTAAAAGGAGCCAACGGTAACGGTGAATTTGGCGCTAAGAGGGAATGAGAGGGAAGGAATCAACAAGTCACACCCTGAAAAGGCTCTGCTTCTGCCTCTGTCTCTGCCTCCGCAAAGTCTGGCCTCCATCGAAAGTCAAGTCTGTCCTTCTGCTTCTACATCTACGCTCCTTTGTCAAGTCCTCAACTACAACTGTTCCTGAGGCAGAGTTGGGTTGACAGTCCTGCCTTCCCTGCACCTGGTCAAGCGACATCTACCAATCATAATAAACAACAGCCTTGGACGACCCCCCAACCTCAACCTCAGCGGGCAGAAATTCGCTTCTGACAGTAGTAGAGTCCTGAGTCCTCAAGACCTCGCCCACCACGACCATCACCACTCTCCTCCCACAACCTGCATCTGCACCAAACCACCAGCACACAGCAGATTGACAGCACTTTGCCTTCTGCCAAATCACACACACATCCTCATCCGCAAAACCACGCCCTGCACACACAGCGCACCGGCTGTGAATCGCGAACATGGACGTCAACTCGGTGCTCTTAAACACCTTCTCCCCAGGTACGCACCGCTCCCTCGCGCCCCTCGAGGCCTATTGGGTGTATGAGTGTATACATCTGCTAACACCCTCCAGATGCGACGATACGAAATGCCGCTGAAGAATCTCTCACAAATGCCGCCCAGTCAAATTTCGTAGGTAGCCCATTCCATGCTATGCTCTCCCTGACCGCACATCACATCTCGCGACCTTGCGCAAGCATCACAGCTAACTCTTTCTTCCTTTCTAGTCCGGATACCTCGTCACACTCGTGCAAGAGCTTGCCAACGAGGAGGCTCAAGGTCCGGTTCGAGCTGCCGCTGGTATCGCCCTCAAGAACGCCTTTACTGCTCGCGAATTTGCTCGACTACAAGAACTGAATGCAAAATGGATCCAGCTGGACCCGGAGACGAAGAAGCGCGTCAAGGAGTTGACCCTCCAGACGTTGGCTTCCAATACCGCACAAGCTGGTCAGGCTGCAGCACAAGTCGTTGCCTCGATTGCCGCTATTGAACTGCCTCACGACCAATGGCCAGAGTTGATGCCCACCTTGGTACGAAATGTAGGAGAAGGTGGAGATCACCTGAAGCAGGCATCTCTGACGACCCTTGGATTTATTTGCGAGAGTCCGGATGAGCAACTGCGCATGAGCCTCATCCAGCACTCCAATGCCATCTTGACTGCTGTTGTTCAAGGTGCGCGGAAGGAGGAGCCCAACCCCGAAGTTCGTCTTGCAGCCATCTATGCCCTCGGGGATTCGCTCGAGTTTGTGGATAGTAACTTCAAGAATGAGGGCGAGCGAAATTATATTATGCAGGTGATCTGCGAGGCTACACAAGCTCCTGATTCTCGGATACAACAGGGGGCTTTTGGATGCCTGAATAGAATCATGTCTTTGTACTACGACTTGATGAAATTCTATATGGAGAAGGCTCTTTTCGGTCTCACTATTATGGGCATGAAGAGCGACGAGGAGGATGTTGCCAAGCTTGCCGTCGAGTTCTGGAGCACCGTCTGTGAGGAGGAAATTGCAATTGAGGATGACAATGCTCAGGTATGTGATGGCCCCCTGCGATTGTCAATTTTTGCTAACCAAATCCCAAGTTTGAGAGACCTGAGCAGATCCGACGCCACTACGAGTTTGCCAAGGCGGCAAACTCGGAAGTCGTTCCCACCTTGCTGGCACTTTTGACGAAACAAGACGAGGATGCCGCCGACGACGAGTATAACATCTCCCGTGCCGCATACCAATGTTTGCAACTTTATGCTCAGTGTACGGGGGCTAAAGTTGTACCACCGGTTCTGGCATTCGTCGAGGCTAACTTGCGTGTCGAAGATTGGCACTGCAGAGATGCCGCTGTTTCTGCTTTTGGTGCCATCATGGAGGGTCCCGACGAACAGACCATTGAGCCAATTGTCAAGCAAGCCCTCCCAGTCATCATTAGCATGATGGATGACAAGAATATTCATGTCAAGGATTCGACGGCGTATGCTTTAGGTCGTATCACCGAGGCCTGCTCCGAGGCAATTGACCCTGAAACCCACCTTCCAAAGCTCATCGCATCTCTATTCGAGGGCCTGGCTAGCAGTCCAAAGATGGCAGGCTCATGCTGCTGGGCATTGATGAACCTTGCTGAGCGTTTCTCGGGTGACATTGGCTGCCAAGAAAATGCACTCACACCACATTTCAATGAGAGCATCTCCCGTCTTCTCCAGGTCACAGAGAGAGCCGATGCTGACAACCAACTTCGCACTGCTGCTTACGAAGTTCTCAATACCTTCGTTCAGAATGCCGCCAACGATAGCTTGGGTGCTGTAGCTTCGCTTTCAGAAGTTATCCTTAAGCGTGTGGAAGAGACCATCCCACTTCAGAGTCAGGTTGTCAGTGTTGAAGACAAGATCACCCTCGAAGAAATCCAAACCAGCTTGTGCACTGTCCTTCTTGCCATCATCCAACGTCTCGAAAAGGAGATCGGCCCACAATCCGACCGAATCATGGCTGTCTTGCTGAATATGCTTGCAACTGCTGGCCCTAAATCAAGTGTTCCAGATGCCATTTTTGCAACCGTCAGTGGTTTGGCCAATTCCCTGGAGGATGCGTTCGCCCCCTACATGGAAGCCTTCGCACCATTCCTTTATAATGCACTCAACAATCAAGAGGAGCCTGCTCTCTGCTCAATGGCCATTGGCCTTGTCAGCGATATTACCCGTTCAATGGGTCCTCTGTGCCAGCCATACTGCGATTCATTTATGAATTCGCTTCTGAACAACTTACGTGTAGGTTCTTTCCCACAATTCCATTCTCCCAAGCCGAAAATAGAGTCGTTATCCTAATCAACCATATTCTTGGTCTGTATTACTAACTATTCTATAGAGCACGGCTCTTGCCAATCAATTCAAGCCTGCGATTCTTCAATGTTTTGGAGATATTGCTGGTGCCATTGGTGGACACTTTGAGACATATCTCTCCGTCGTCGCCCAAGTGCTTCAACAAGCTGCGGGTGTCCAAGCAACGCCAGAAGGAAGCTATGAGATGTTCGACTATGTCATTTCGTTGCGAGAAGGTATCATGGATGCTTGGGGAGGTATTATCGGTGCTATGAAGGCTGGTGAAAAGAGTAAGTCTTTCTACGCGCGTTTTTCATGCAGGTTCTAACTTGGCTTAGCTGCTCTCTTATCTACATATGTGGAATCGATCTTCACCCTTCTCAACGTCGTCTACCTCGACCAAAATAAGAGTGATGCTCTCCTGAGATCTGCAATGGGTGTTATTGGGTTCGTACTTCTACACCATACTTAATACCGCCACTAATATATATCTAGTGATCTTGCCGATGCATTTCCCAACGGAGAATTTGCTGGATTCTACAGATCTGATTGGTTGACTACCATGGTCAGAGAGTGCAGAGCAAATCGAGAATACCAACCCCGCACCACTGAGACCGCACGATGGGCCCGTGAGCAAATCAAGCGCCAAATCGGTGGCATCCAAGGAGTTCAACAAACTTGATCATGATTTCTTCGACCATACGCGTCCACGATTATTACATTTTAATATCCTCACTCTAGGGTCGGCGCAAATACGTCTACACATAGAGTCCAGGGGGACCAGATTGCTTTCTTCATTAAATCTTTTCATGGCCGACACAAAAGAGGGGTCTTGTCCTCGATCGGCGGAGTTTCTGCTTTTATTATTTCTAATCACCACAGTTGTCTGTCAACCAACACCCCGCCCACCAGGAGATCGGATTCCCGCGAAGTCGACGAGGATCGAATAGACTCACTGGAAGCTGCTCGGCGCAGCGAGAAATGACACCTATAGCACCAACAACACCCAACACCTGTATAAAATTCCCCAAGACCCCTTTCCGCACCGCGCCAATACCCCGTCTATTGCATTACGCCCCCATTTTCATTTACGAATATTCGATAAAGACGACCCAGGAAGATACGACCTGGGCGCGAGAGACGAGCAAGAGGCTCAAGCCATGTCGCCGGAAAAACTTCATGTAATTCTCTTGCCCTTTGGACTGAAAGCAAGCAATTGCTCTGGAAATAAGGGATGATGGGAAACCTGTTATGTACACACGCATTGATCGACCGAATTGGGTCCTTTGTGATGGACTGGTGGCATACGATTTTTTGAGGAAGGAAGGGATCAGTGGATTCGAGACAGATGATGGATGTGTGAATTGCGGAAGTTGATATGTAAGGATTAAGAAGAGGGTTTTACTTCTGGATATATGTGTCAAGTGGCATATAGAATTTGGTGGGGAACCCTTCTTTTTTATTGTTGTCCTGAATCTATTGGAGAGTGTACGGGGGTTCTTTCCTAGTCTAGGTGGAGGAAGACATAGGACTTGATGCGATGCGATGAGACCAGATGAATGAAACGCAATCCCCCTTATATGATTTTCCGTAATGCTTATACGAGTGAGCGGTGATTCAAAGAAGAGATCTCTCCAATAGATGAATATAGCCGCCGAGCCTTCGAAGGCGCTAGGTAAATGTGGCAGTAGATTGAAATAAGTACGTGCGCATTATAAGTGAGACCATCAAGATCTTTTAATAAAAAAGAGAATGCTAAATTTCAAGTGACATTCTGTTTCATGAACGATACTAACTTGGATTTAGCTACAAAACTTCTAAACAGTATTCATTTAAGAACATTATTTAATTAAAAATAAATTAATCAATTTAGTAAATCAAGAATATATATAACTTAGTAAAATAATAATACTTTAAACGTTAATAGCTATATTAGGTCTAATTATTAATATTATATAATTCATATAGTTATATATTTACTAGTAATCTTTTTAGATATTTAGCTTAGTTAATAGTTTAGAATAAATTTCTTCCCTTTTTATTTTTAATTCTTATTTAATAATTTAGTTAACTTATAGAAATATTTATTAATAAAGTACTTAGACATTAAAAATCTAAAAAGAATACATTTATTTATTTTCTATAACTATCTTTAGATAATAGAAATATATTATAAATCTTTTCAAAGAATATTAAAATAACTAACTGTTAATATTTTAATAGTATTAGATTAACTCTAAGTCATTAGAGCCGAAAGACAATAAGGAAAGTATGATGCAAGGCTAATAGTTCTGTATCGAATGTATCGTATTGTAAAGACTATTAGTTGTGCACACCGAGTAAAGGTGTTGCAAGTGCCACCACTATATGTAGTGGTTCTCAGTGCCAAGGTACGGCACGTGAGTTGGCCTTGAGTGATATTCACTTATACCGACAAATAGTTACATAAATAATTCTATACTCTCCCCAGCAATGGCGGCCAACCCGCAAACACCCAAGCGGCGACGCGACGCCATCGACGATGTTAGAGACCAGCAGTCATCCCTCGAAAAACTCCTCGAGGAGTCTCGAGACAAGAACCAGTTTGCTGGCAACCCGAATCTCTTAGCAATTCTGTGACCGACGGTGATACTTGCGCGGCTTTTTTGGGGCTGCACAATAATAACGCAATGGAAAAGTGGTTGGGGAGCAAGTTTTTCTACCGGTTTGGACGAAGATATGGTCCGATCAAGTCTGTCCGCGACTTCTCAATAACCTGCGCCTTGGAGAAGCAGTGTCTATGCCGCAACTCGATTAGTCTAATTTCCTTGCCTTAACTATCTCTTAGAACTATACGCGCGAACGTAAACACGTTAAACCCGTACCTAATTTTGAGGACTAGATCGTTATTTAGTAATTCGGGGTTTTTAATAGAGTTTATTTTATCCTATAATATAGCTACGAATTTACTAAGTAACGATCTAGGGAAGGCTTCCCCAGATACGCTATCATCAGGGAGATTATTACTAGCGCGGGCCTTTCGCCGATCAGTTAGCCAAATGTTAATCGCCTACTATCCTTGTCTCGACCTTATAGTATATTATTATAATTTCTGTAACGTAGAGGGTGGTTTAACTTTACGGTATATATATATATAATATAATAGACCTATATTATATATAGGAATACTGTGACGGTTATGGTCACGAGGGCTGGATGTCACATGCTCGCTTAGCGAGGCGCTAGCGCGCACGACCTGTATTTA